AGTACTAAGGGACCCTTAGCTGTGATAGGAGGGAGAAGGGCTCAAACTGCTGTCTCTCAAAGGAAGTGTTTCTTTGCCGCTGTTCCTAAAGGACTACGGATGCATGCTGTTTCTCTTTATGTTGGGGGAAGTAAGGGCAGTGTGAGAGAGAGGAGCCTCTATCATTCTAAGCAGAGCATAACAGTTAAAGGGAGGTGTGTAGTGTGTGTGTGGGGGGGGATGGGACTGTGGGTGCTGGTCACTTTGTACCTATGTCCCTCAATTGCCTTATATCCATGCTTTTTTGACAGTGATATGGAAACTAGACTGTGACATAAAAAATAAGTTACACAGTCATAGCTTACAATAAGGGACATTAGATTTCTCTTTCTGTGAGCTGTCACCTGTCCTACTGTATTCCTTCATTTCCATAGTACTTTGATTGTATCCCTCATAAATCTTATGTCCCATAAGCCTTTGCATATTGTACAAATTTAGCTACCACTCAAAACCAAGAATGACTTTAAATTGCAAATCTTTATTTTTATGAAGTGTGGTTAATATCACTAGTCGTATTGGTCCTAAATGCCTGCTGCTGTTTGATACTTCCATATATCTATCCTTACTGGCTTATGATCTGACTGGAATTGTCCTACCAATATAAACAGGGGGAAAATGCAGCACCCTTTTTCTTCACTTCCCTGCAAGCCATGTTTGTAGCCTTTCTGCAACCCAGCTACGTAGCTTTTCTGCACTCTTATTGCTCAGTGGGCTGTGGAGGCAGAGATGCCTTTCTACCCACTAAAAGGGAAGAGTGGGGAACTTTGTGTCATGATATATTTTTCTTTTTGATGTAAATACAACCCTGAAATATGAAAACATTCATATTTAAATGAAAACATTTCAGTTGCCCCAAAAATCCTCTTTCCCATGGTGTTTCTGCTAAGCCCTCTTCTTGAAATCACTCTCTCTAGGGATACCATAACACATCAGAACCGGAACACAGTAACTGTTTGTGTGCAGTAACTTTTCCAATTGCTTCCTAGTGTTTGGATGAGGTTGTGGCTTGTGATAGACAAGACTGTCTCCTAGTAGGTGTGTGCATACATGAGGTATGTATCACAAAAACAGAATGACAGTGTGACTTTCTTTTTTAACTGGCTACCCTACAGCAATAGTCTTCAACCTGTGGTCTGTGGACCCCTGGGTGTCTGCAAACTATTTCTAAGGGGTCTGTGAAAGATGAGTATAATCTATCAAAAGTATGTGAATACCCACACTTGCAATTCAAAGGTGTCTTCACTTCCATTCATTCAAAATTTCCAAAGGAGTCCGTACCTCTATTCAAAATATTTTAGGGATTCACAAATGAAAAATGGTTGAAAACCATTGCCTTAGAGAAATGTCATCATAACACGCCTCAAAAGGTTTTGAGTTCCAGGCGAGCAGTCCAGCTTATTTAGCATAGCCAGAAAAGATGTGTGTGCCCTGTCTAATTTTTCACTAATATGTCCAAGTGCAGGGGGCCCTAACAACTATGAGCCTATGAAATGCTTCCTTTATTATTGGCATAATTTGCAATGTACCACACCTCTTAAGAGGTGCAGAGATGTACATCCTCTTGTTGAGCTCTAGAAATATTTTATTTATCTAATGTTGAAGACACTGAGAGAGAGTTAGATTGCTGTTGTAGCAAAATATCTACAAGTTTTTGCAGCCCTAGATCTACAACATTATACTGCCTCTAATATTGTGCGACTATTGGCAGCCTCACCATTACATAATGTTAATCTATATTTGTGATATGTGACAGTTTTGCTAAACAGTCAGGGATAATCCATTATAGGGAAAAAACTTTCTGATTATATGTTGAGACTGTCTTGTACCACAAACATAAATGTGCCTCAGATAATGCTTCTCCTTGTTAAGACAAGCAGAGTGTAGTATTTCAGGTAAGAGAAATACTAGGGAAAATGTTACATATTTTTGAGACTGAAATAACCTGGGCTGAATTCAATCCTGGTTTGGTTCCATTGAAGTTACTAGAGTAACAGTAGGGATGAACTGGACTCTTGGGCTTTAAAACAAATGCTTAAATCTAGCACAACTATGGGACCTAGTGATGGCTTCAAAATGCTACGAGTTTCTGAAACGACTGCAAAAATCTGCCACAGGTAGTCCTAGAGAATGTCACTTGTTCTTTTGAAAAGCAGAATTGTGGTTTTTTGTCTGCCCTAATAATGCATAGAGACCCCCAGAATTTGTGGCTTTACATTTTTTTTCTTCAAAAAATGCAATAGTTCAGGGCAATTCCCAATAAAATTATATGGAGAGCGACTAGAGGTTGTTTGCTAAACAGCACCTGAGATGCTAAAGGCCTTGGATGAATCAGAATATGGCTGACTGTTTTCAGAGCTCAGTGAAAAATCCACTCTTAAAAAGCAATTTTTGTTACAGAAAATGAAAAACAGAAGACAGGAAAGGAAAAATAGGTATGGAAGAGTAGAGATGAGGGAAAATTGGGAATTCTCTTTGTATTCAAGAACAGGGACTTCTTCAGAATAACTGTGCGTGTAAGTCATAATGTTGTGGTGACTAGATAGTGTGACTGTATGGGCTGTGTAAATGTCTTTAATACTGAAAAAAATAAGATAGGAAGGGAAATTGAGAAATTAGAGTTTGTCAACTTGAAGGGGAGGAATTCTTGAGGGTGGTACAGGAAGGGAAAACCTGGAACAGTATTATGTGACTTCAGCAAGTAGAAGTCAGCTTTGCTATCTGGAAATGTCTGGGCAATAGAAACAGTTAGAACAGTGAGGAACATTGTTCTTCCTGGTTTGTATCCCTGTTTGTGTGTGGAGTAAATGTCTGCCAGAGCAAAATTTAAAAACCATTTAGTACAGTCTCTCCCTCTTCCATTCCTTCCCCATCTCTTTTGTTTATATCTTCATTCTGTCTATATATTCATTCATGTGTTCTGTTTCCTTCCCAGTACTGCACTGATTCAGACCCACCATCTACATTCATTTTGTATTTCATACTTGATATTGTTCCATACTCCCCTTTTCACTCTCTCCCTTTGCTTTCCATCCCACTTGCTTAATTCTTCATCTGAACTATCTTGCACACCCTCTCATTTTTTGGTCTGGGAGAAGAAAGTCCGGAGGAAGACAAGGAGAGATTTAGAAAGTGAGGCAAAGGGGAGGGATGGAGTGTGGAAGAGGCTTTGTGAAAGGGGAGCCCCAGGGCTCATTAACCTATATTTGTAGCATTGGAGGCAGGGGTAGTCCCAGTGTTGGGTGGAAAAGTGCTCCCATGTGGTAAGCACTAACATAAGCAGGGACCTTGAAGATGCACCAGCACCCCGCTCCACTCCCCCACTAAGGGAGACAGATTAACTTGAATAGGGGCCTGTTCTGTCCTAGCTACCATTTCAGATCACTTGGAATTTGATAGTGACCAAAAAGTATTACTATTTCGAATGCTGTGTGGTATTTTTGTGAAATGAGTTGGTGGTTTTAGCCTACATCAAATTGACAAGTTTCACTATTCTAACACTTGTGGCTATGACATGTGGATACCAATTTAATATTATTGACACTGCAAGAAAAGTGCCAAAAGGGCCCACTATGATATTAATTCATGTGTAGCAGTTCATTTCTGGAAGGTTACTGGCAGCTAATAAGCATATCCACGCTGGTTAGCCTCACCTCTATCCTTGGAAAAACCTTTGAAAATGTATTAAAGATCACATTTGTGGGAGTCCAATTGGTAAAATAATGCTGAAGGGCAACCAGCATGGCTTCACAGCAGATAGATCCTGCCTGACTAACCTTGTTTCTTTTAATGACCAGGTCACAAAACGCTTAGATGCAGGAGTTGAGGTAGATGTAATCTCCTTGGATTTTAAAAAGGCCTTTTATACAGTGTCACATCCCATTCTTATAAATAAATTAAGCCATTGTGACGTACATTACTATACGGTCAGGTGGATAGAGAATTGGCTTATGGGGTGTACACAGAGGGTGGTGGTGGATGGGTCATTTTTGACCTGGAAAAATGTGGGCAGTGGAGTTCCCCAGGGTTTGGTCCTTGGACCAGTGCTGTTCAATATTTTCATCAGTGACTTGGATGAGGGTGTAGAAAGCACTCTGTTCAAATTTGCAGATGACACCAAAGTATGGGGCAAAGTAAACATACTGGAGGGCAGGGAGCAGATTCAGGCTATTTGGACAGGTTGGGAATGTGGGCAGAACAGAATAGTTTAACAAGGGTAAGTGCAAAGTGCTGCATCTAGGGAGAAAGAATCACCAACACACCTACAGGCTGGGAGGTGACTTTCTAAGCAGCACAGCAACATAAAGGGATTTTGGAGTCATAGTTGACTCCAGAATGAATATGAGTCATCAGTGTCACAAAGTGATAAGTAAAGCCAACCTCACTCTTCCATGCACACAGGGCCAAGGCCTGATCAGTGCCTTACCAGGCTCTTGTCCCACACACCACATCACAACAGCAACCCTACACTGCATTGACCCACCCTGAATCTTGTGTGGCGGATCAGGCCCCTGTGCCCTGGCCACCAGTGTTTGGACAGGGTGCTTCCACTTTGGCCCCAGCTCTGTGTGTGCCTGACCAGGCCTCTGCACCCCTGGTGCAGGCCCCTGGCCTCCTCCTCCTGGGCCCAATGCCTTGTGTGCCTGACGGGCCTCTCCCGGGCGTGCTCCCATGGCTCCATGGGCCGGGTAGAGGCCGAGCCCCTGGCCCGTGGCCTTGTGGGGGGGGTCGGCGGCCGGCAGGGCCCAGCCTGGGCGGGGGCCGCGGGGCTCTGAGGGCGCCACGAAGTCTCAGGCGAGCGCTGCGGAGCCAGGCGCTGCCCTTCCCCGGGCCATGATAAATGTGGGGCGTTGGGCCTCCGGCCCGGCCCCGCGTGCAGCGGCCATTTTCAGAGAGCGCTGCGACGGCCCCTTTAAGCGCGGAGCCGGGTGTGCGAAGCGCGTCTCGGCGGCCCCCTCCCCGCCCCACTGCAGTGACAGCCCCGCCGCCGCCCTTCGCTAGCGCCGCCTCAGCGCCAGAGCTGGGAAAGCACTGCCGCGCGCGGCTCTGCACTACCGCCGTCGCCCCACGGGCAGGGACACCATGGACACAATGGAGATGCCGCGCCGGGAGCAGAGCGCGAGCAGCCCTGCCAGCCCGTGCGAGGACGTGATCAAGAACCTGAGTCTCGAGGCGATCCAGCTCTGCGAGAGGGACGGTGAGAGCAGCCCGCCTTTGTGTGTATTCCCCCGCCCCGCCGGGAACAAAAGCCGGGCAGGGGGCGCCGGGCGGAGGCACTGAGGCTCGTCCTCATCCCGAGGGGAGCCAGGGGCGGGCGAGGGATGCGGAGCCCAGCGCCAGGCTCTCGGCGCCGCGGGCTGGGCACGGCCGGGGCCTCTCCCTGATTTGTGAGGCCTCGGGTGCAGCGTGGAAACTTGTTGCCTGTCATCAGGCTCTTTCAATCATCGTCATTATTATTACTGCATATTATAGTATAACGTTAGATTATTAGTAATAATGTCATATAATCCATATAAGAAACATCATCATCCTCAGGGAGTCGAGGGACCCTCAGCCCTGCTCCCAAAGAGGGCGGGGGGAAGAGGCGTTGACATATCTTCAGCACCGTGGACAGATACAAGGTCCCTCATCCTGGGCAGTGGCTCAAGCCTGGCTGATGGGCCCAATGGCCCAAGCTGTGTCCCAACCTTTGTTCTGTGCCCAGAGTCCCAAGCCAAAAGCTCAGCAGAACTGGGGAGGGACCAGGGGACAGGAGATGGGCAAGCTGGGAAGGAGCAAACAACCTCCTTTACCATGTCTGTAGTGATGGCAGATCCAGATTGGCAGAAGGGCCCTGGATAGGTGTCATGTGAATGAAGTTTTGTTTCACAGTGCAGATGCCGTACTGAGCCCTAGCTGATTTGCAACAACCAAAGAACTCTGAGGCTGTAATAAGGGGCCAAAAAGAAACCACTGACCATATTAGCCACACACACTGAAGATTAAGCATCATAGTTTCATAGTTTCATACTTTCTAGGGTCGGAAGGGACCTGAGCAGATCATCTAGTCCGACCCCCTGCCATGGCAGGAAGAGCACTGGGGTCAAACGACCCCAGTAAGGTGGTCATCCAACCTCCTCTTAAAAACCCCCAGGGTGGGAGCCTGCACCACCTCACTTGGAAGCTGGTTCCAGACCCTAGCCGCCCTGACTGTGAAGTAGCGCCTCCTGATGTCCAACTTAAACCTTCCCTCCGCCAGCTTGTGACCATTGTTCCTGGTCACTCCTTGCGGCGGTCGGGGGAACAGGGACTCCCCTAGCACCTGCTGATCCCCCCTAACCAGTTTATAACAGGCCACAAGATCCCCCCTCAGCCTTCTCTTCGCATCGGAAGTGAGGTTAATATTATTTGCAGTGTGGCTTCAGGGAGACGCATGGCATTAATATAATAAGAGATAAACTTCTGTGTGGACAAAAAAATAGCTGAGAAAATTATCTTGCAGCTGCTAATAGATTTGTGATGTCACCCAAATTATTTTTGCCTTCCTCTTTGCCATTAAGTAGTATAAACAGCTTGAACATTTTATGGTGTTCTGCAATTTGAGTGAGGAAGGAAAAGCTCAATTGAATGTAGTTTGCATTGTGAATTCAATGAGCAACTTGAATGTTAATTGCTTGAATTCATTTTTTCTATAGTGGATTTTTTGTAGGAGGATCCATATTGCAGGTATCACTGCTTGATGGAAATGGTGATTCTGGGGGGGAGGGGCGTTAGTATTCTACTATGGACATGTCATTATGAAATATTCCAGTACTTTTGAGCTAACCATCCCATGACTGAGGTTTCATAAACTCTTGTTTTTTAGTATTAAAGGGACTGTCAAGATATTTTTAAATAGTTCTTTCTGTTGTTACATTTACTAACGACAACAAACATGTATTTTTAACCACAGATTTATATTTGGTTAGAATTAAATTTATATATGAAGTGAATCACAAGTAGAAATAGAGCTTGTGTTGTAGGTTGATATCACAATTTACTATTGTAGCTAACATTAACTTCAATTACATCTTCTCCTAGATCTGAAAGAATATATTGCTGTTGTTTTGGCAAAATACCCCATTTATGTGTGATTACTTTTATTGATACTACAGTGAATAGGAAATTGATAAATTATGTAACCTTTATTAACTAAGTCTAGTATGTTAATTGTGGCAGACTCCTAATTGATTCAGCATACTGTATTTAAGCAGTGCTTGGTTTTTATGAAATAGTCTCATAGAGACCAGCAGATTCAAAGAGTTTCTTCTAGGTTGTTTTAAAGTCAAAATATTCCCAATTTAAACTCACATAATCAGAAAACAATTTTTCTATTCTCTAGATTCTGCTGTACAAATGAATCTTGATGCATATTAAGGCACTATATAATTTGGGGTCATTGCTTCATGCACAGAGGTCTACATTTTTAAAAAGATGCATCTCCCTTGCACATATAAATATACAATTGCATACCTAATTGGGCACAGAATTGAACTTGAGCATACTTTAATGCTTCCTACAGATGGCACTTAAGTACCAAAAATACATGCTAAAATGAACAAAAAAAGTAAACAAGCCTGGAAGCATTTAGCTCTCTAGATAAGAGTGCAAATTATATTTTCAGTGTATTTAGGGACTTAATTGATTGCCTATATTTAGCCAACGGCTTTACGTGCATAAATATTTATGATTTATTTTAAAACACTGTATTTTTAATGCTTCTCCTTAGCATGAAAACAAGGCTTCCATGGCGCTGTGTCTTAAACTTAAAACAGTCACCGTGAGACTTTACATTTGATTTGGGATCTTTTAAAACGTGTTCTTTTATTTAAGCTGCATAAAGCTAAGATGGCATGTGATAATCATGAAATTAAGTAGAAAACCATTAAAAAGGCATATGTGAGTAAATAAAAGTTTTATTATTGTTATTTTTAGTTTCAATCTATTTAATTTTGAAAAAAATGTATTTATAAAAATGTTGCAGTAGTTTGAACATAAAACATAACATACTCCTGATTTCAGCATTACCTTTGGATACACAAGAGCCAGAGTAAAGCAGTTATTAAAAATAATGTTTATTGTGGGTTGTTTTGTTTCCTTTTTTCTATATAGCTCACTTATGCCATCAGTGCTCTATTTGCAAAAGCAGCCAGGAGAAGGAAGTTGCCCAATTAAAATTCAGAGGAGAGAAGAGCTGAGGGAAGTGTAGAGTGGAACAAGAAACTGTAGAAGTCAAAACTGGGAGTTGGGGGAGGGACTGGGAACCCATAGGTATGGGGAGGAAGACATTACAAGGGTCAGAGGAATTACTGGCAGTAGCTGGGCAAGGAGACTAACTGAGAACAAGTGGGCCAGAGGAAAGGAGGTGGAGAGGGGAGGAGTTACACATACAAGCTATGTTAAAATAACTTTATTAAGGTGGCAAAGTTAAGCAGACAGTAGTTAGAAAATGCCAGAATTAAGGTTTCCTGGATGATCAGAATTGCTAGGTCAAGAATATTTTTTAGGAAGACTTGTGCATTTGTTGGAGAAATTGTGATGTGAAGTGTGTAATGAATAAAGGCAGTGGGTTGGAGGAGACTGCAGGAAGAGAAAGCATGATTAAGATAGCTGAATGCTGCCATGGAAAATTGGAGGTTATCATTGTTTCTGCCACAAGAAAACATATACTACTGGGCAAGATATTTAAAGCATGGTTTTCATTTGTGGTCACTAATTGTAAGTTAATTTTCTGGGAACCTGACTTGATACTTTGGGATCTTATCTTCAGAAGAGATGAGCACTCAGAGCTGCAATTTATATTATGCTTTGGACTTGTAAACTCCTATATAGAACTTTGAAAAGTATTGTACATAGTATAAGTGCTTTGAAAGCTAAACATCCAAAATTTAGTGCACATTGTTGACAGTACTTTCATATTTTCATAGTTTCTAGGGTCGGAAGGGACCTGAGTAGATCATCGAGTCCAACCCCATGCCATGGCAGGAAAGA